TGTGTGTGTGTGTGTGTGTGTGTGTGTGTGTGGTGCGTACGCACTTCCACGCACTCGTAATGCCTTTTCTTATCTCTTTTTGTTTTGGTAAGTGTCTTATTAGCGCTCGCACCTGCATAATGTCACATGTGCGCGAGGGACACATTAAATAACGAAATATTGTCAGTTTGGTTAGAATTAATTTTGAATTTTATCCGGTGGCAGGCCTACTGTTATAGATTTGAGGAACACGAAATGATCTTTCACGTGCTCAACGTGCGCACGGGACGGCCGAGATAATTGCACCCTTATCCCAGTGTTTGATCTTAACTACACTATAATCAGGGGTGTGGCTGAAAGACAGCAGTCAAAATGATCCATGATTCTCAGTAAAAAAGAGTCAGGATCCCAGAAGTGGGTGTGGGGGCGCGCAAAACTGGAGATGAAAGCAGGTGACAGAACGTGATTAGAGAACAGGAAAAGAGGTGGAAGGAGAACATTTCAGAGAAGAAAATGCTCTGTCGCTGTCAGGTTTGAACCCGGGACCCTATCAAATGAAAGGCGAACACTATACCTCGAGACCACGAGAGCCCACCGTTGTTTCAGAAGGTCACAATTGGATTCGGTCGAGCTCCTCCATCGAATAAAAAGCTGGCTGGCCTCGCCTCGGTTTGACTGAATTCGTCTGTCTGTGTGCCCTGAATATAAAGTTGAGGGTTGTTCTAGTTATCCTGTTACTGGTCTGGTTTTATGCTCCCTTCCCTTGTGTGGCTTACAACAACTGCTGCAAGATACATGTAATTTATCGCAAAAAAAATTTCAAAAAAAATATTAAAAAAATATCGTCAATGTCGGACTCTAACAGTGAATGCGCGTGACAATGAGTTTTAGAAAAGTGGAAAACCCGTAATATCTACCATAATATCAACTAAAATTGCTCAAAATGTCGATAAAAGAATTTCTCATCGAGGGCTTGATTAAAAATGGATAATAGCTAGGTACTGATGTGTATTTCCAAAATGTGGAAAA